ATTTAAAATATGAAATGAACAATAAACACTTTACTCAAGAGAAAATAAATGTCATCCAATCATAAACCATCGTCATATAAGATAAGTTTAATAAATTTTACAACAACTACCTTAAAGTCGTACAGAAAACGATTTTAACCTAGGAGTATATGACCACTAAAAATTAAACTCTCGTATTAAACTTGTTTCCTGCAATTAAAATCTAAATGAGCCGCTTCCTACCGAACAATCTAAACAGAGGAAACAACATGTAATTCCAACAGAAAAGGGTAGGTCAAATTGACTAAACAGAAAACCAAAACAAGATCAGAAAGTAATTACCGTCAAATTCCACGGTCTCTCCGGCTCCACGCACAGAAGATCAAAAAGAACACCGGTCGGTATAAACCTGCACAAAGCACAATAAAAATAAAAAGAAAAAAGAAAACAATCAGTGTAATGCGAGAATTGAAAAACAGCGAGAGAATGCATTGTATTGCAATCGCACCACTTGAGAGGAAGGCCTTTGTAGTCAAACCAAACGGTGTCAAGTCCAGGGGGAAGCGTGGTGCTGAAGTGAGGCTTCACGAGCGATATCAACAGAGGCAAGTAACCTATCCGAGGAGCCAACACCTGAAAACGAAAACGAAATGGAAACGAAGCGATTAATTGAATGAGATGATACAAAAACCCTACGGAAATAGGAAGAGTGTGGCGCGAGAAGAATACCAAAGCTGGTGGAGGAGGAGGAAGAGTTGTGACTTCAGATTCGTGGAGATGAATCTGCAGCGGAATGGCCCCTTCCCACACCTGCTTCTGCGCCGAGCTCATCTCTTTCAGATCTCTTTCTATTTCTCTCTCACTCTCTCTTCACTTTTAACTTCATTCAACTTCATTCGCTCCACTTCTTCTCTCACTTTGATCAAATCGCTCACGTTGCTTTATTTGTTTTCTCAGCTTTTGGATTTTTTTTTTTCAACTATATTTTAACTTCCCGATATTATCTAATTACAGTTTATTGTTTATAGTAAATTTCTTTAGTTTTACTAAGTAAAAATACTTTAAAAATATTAAATTTTTAAATAAATATTATGAAATCTGATAATTAAATGTGGCAACCTGAGTCTCCGTTAATACAGATGAAGTTCTAAACTCGAGAGAGTTTGATACGTATGAATTTAGTCATTGTTGAATGTATTTTCTATTCCTACATTTAAACACCTTTGTTTTAATAAATTGCATATGTTATATTTCTAATTCTAATTACGTATGTGCATAAAGAAATAATATATATTTAGTAGTACATTCTCTTATCTAAATTATTTTTCGAATTTCTTTCGTTTTACCTTTTTTTCATATGTTTAACTGTTAAATTTTCAAAATAATTTGTATATTTTATTATTATATTTTTTTTTCTTTTTTTTTTTATTTTTTTTTTTTTTTTTTTATCCATGTTAAGTGATAAATTGACATTATTTTGTAAAAAATTACAGGGTGTTTCACCACCTCTTTTCTTTCATATGCATATTTAAAATTACAAAGATGACTTTCAATATTTTATTAAATTATCTTTTTCTCTTTTACTTTTTTTTCTTCTCTTTTCATTAACTGCATCCCTTTTATTCCATAATAGGCTAAGAATTCATCTATTTAAAATTTGAAATACCATTTTCTCTTGGAAAGTAGGTGAACTTTTAATCCATTTTCGAAAGTCGGTTAAAAAAACGTATTTTAAAATACGTTTAACCAACTTCGTTTATTCCATAAATATATTTATATTTAAGAAAAAAACGTATTAAATTTAAAATAACAAATAATAAATTTTGNTCCAACATTGACATGTAAAGTGGTTATCCCTAAGGCATTGTTAAAGGAGAAGGAGATAGAAACCATGCCTCTAGGTTGGAGTTTAAGCCAAGCAGAAATGACTGAGGGAGACTGGCAGAGAGAGTAGCACAGTGCAGGAAGCGGGATTGCAACAGATTTTGGCAGAGTTCAAGGGGGTGTTTCAAGAACCCCAGGGGCTGCCAATAGACCATCAAATTCCATTGAAGGAAGATAGACTTCAAATTCAAATTAACTCAGTACAATTTGTGAGCGCAATGGAGGTTTTGTACACGAAGCTCCATGACAAATACACCGAAGTCAAGACTAAGAAACTATCGAATTTGGAACACCTTAACGAAGAACAACTTAAATTCATCAATTGTTTGTCCGCTGCAGAAGAGATCATAAAGTGCTTGAAGACCGAGAAGGAAGAGCTTCTTGGACAAGTCAATGATTTAAGAGTCGAGCTCGCTTCGCTAAAGGCTGCCAAAGACAACCAGTTAGCAGACTATCAGATGCTTTTGAGGAAGGAAAGCCACAAAAATGAAACTTTTTCTGAAGTGGAGAAATTGCAGCACCTTTGCCAAGAAGGAGTATATCATGATTTGAATAATAGTAGAAGGATCGTAGCTGTAGAAGACCATCAGGTGGAGGGAGTTTTACCAACTGAATTGCAGGAGGATAGACACGTACATCCCCCTGAAGGTGCTACAATGAAGGAACCATCAGCAACACGGGAAGGAGATACCCCAAGTCTTAATACAATGGCAAGAGGGTGGTTTGGAAGGGGATACTTGGGAGGAGGAGTACTATATCCACCAGCAGTTCCTTAATTTCAACCTTGAGGACAAGGTTGATGTTGGGGAGGAGAGGAGGGTAATGTTAGACAATTAAAGATGTACGTAAGGAGGTTAGTTTGTTAGAAGAGAGAGAGTATAAATAATAAACAGAATGGGGGAGAGGGGATAGATATTATTTTGGGATTTATACTGGACCTCTTGGCCAGTGGAGGAAGGGAGGCTTCCTTGGGAGAGAGATTGATACTTGTATTTTCTTTTCTACACATTACAGAGGAAATAGAAATACATATACATACATGTTTCTTTTATACTGTCAGTGTGTGTGTGAGCATAGAGCTGCTGTTCGGTTCGGTTCCTCGAATAAAGGAACCTAACATCATGTGATAAAAGGGGAATATAGTAAGCAGAGAGAATAATAAGGGGTCTGTTGGGAAATTCATAGTTTATTAAGTACTTTGAAGGGAAAAGAATATTCTCTCTGAGGAGCTTAGGCTCTAGTTTCTTTTTTCTACTTCTACAATAGCCCTTGAGCTCTCTTCATTCCAATAAAATACATCTTATTCCGATTTTATCTTCCAGATTCCCATCACCTTAGCATATTATTACTAAAATACCTATTTTGACCTACAACTGAGCTCAAAGATCTCTACCCTTATTATAACATTACTAATTTTATCACAAATGCATATTGAATAGTAGTGAATAATATTAGTTGTTCCAAGGTATGGGAGGAACTGAAAACATCATAGCTTCGATTAGAGAACTCCTTATTTGAAAGCAGCGGCAGGTTCTATCCAAGATATTCCAGAAAAGCCTATCAATTCATTAACTTTTATCATTAAAGCACATTTTATAGCAGTCAAACAACACACTAACTTGGCCCATAAGCATCACACCAATCCAGCAAAAAACCACCATTACCTTAACAAATCCTCAACAAGTTTTTAATTTCATCAAGTTCCAATATTTTCCTTACTATCCTATACCAATAAACCATGTGTCAGACTAGGGTGAGATCTGTTTAAAGCTTCATATAACCAAATATGATATGAGTCTGACGTGATCAATCAAAATAGCACAAAATGCATGTTAGAGGGCATAAGGGCATAAACACCTTCTTTGAAAAGCTTAACTGGCACAAAGCATCATGTTATAAATCAAACAAGTACCATAATAAAGGCAGGCACCAAAAAGCAGATATCACATAACTGACCTCTTTCAGTGAGTTAATAAAGCTCCACTTTACACTGTCTTCACCTTCACAAGGAAGCAATAAATTACTTGGATATCCTCTAAAGTGTACCTATAAATCGATCCGAGGGTTCAGAGATTAAGATCGAATATAGCTGCAGATGTGGAAAGATGATTTCTACAAGGGCCACTTAAATGTTAGTAGTAAATCAATCCTAATTTATTTAAGCACTCCTAATTTTATTTGCTTCCCCTAGTTCAGGCTCTTTCTTAGTTTCTTCAATAACAAACACCACCAAGCAGGTAGGATTGAAGTGGAAATCCAATAGGAATTCTTGTATCGTCACATCATCCTAATTATTAATATAATGAGGCAGCAACACAAGTTCCTAAAGGATGCTAGATTTTTCCAAAAAAAAAACACTAACAGCAACCTACGGATTAAACTCTATTTAAAATATGAAATGAACAATAAACACTTTACTCAAGAGAAAATAAATGTCATCCAATCATAAACCATCGTCATATAAGATAAGTTTAATAAATTTTACAACAACTACCTTAAAGTCGTACAGAAAACGATTTTAACCTAGGAGTATATGACCACTAAAAATTAAACTCTCGTATTAAACTTGTTTCCTGCAATTAAAATCTAAATGAGCCGCTTCCTACCGAACAATCTAAACAGAGGAAACAACATGTAATTCCAACAGAAAAGGGTAGGTCAAATTGACTAAACAGAAAACCAAAACAAGATCAGAAAGTAATTACCGTCAAATTCCACGGTCTCTCCGGCTCCACGCACAGAAGATCAAAAAGAACACCGGTCGGTATAAACCTGCACAAAGCACAATAAAAATAAAAAGAAAAAAGAAAACAATCAGTGTAATGCGAGAATTGAAAAACAGCGAGAGAATGCATTGTATTGCAATCGCACCACTTGAGAGGAAGGCCTTTGTAGTCAAACCAAACGGTGTCAAGTCCAGGGGGAAGCGTGGTGCTGAAGTGAGGCTTCACGAGCGATATCAACAGAGGCAAGTAACCTATCCGAGGAGCCAACACCTGAAAACGAAAACGAAATGGAAACGAAGCGATTAATTGAATGAGATGATACAAAAACCCTACGGAAATAGGAAGAGTGTGGCGCGAGAAGAATACCAAAGCTGGTGGAGGAGGAGGAAGAGTTGTGACTTCAGATTCGTGGAGATGAATCTGCAGCGGAATGGCCCCTTCCCACACCTGCTTCTGCGCCGAGCTCATCTCTTTCAGATCTCTTTCTATTTCTCTCTCACTCTCTCTTCACTTTTAACTTCATTCAACTTCATTCGCTCCACTTCTTCTCTCACTTTGATCAAATCGCTCACGTTGCTTTATTTGTTCTCAGCTTTTGGATTTTTTTTTCAACTATATTTTAACTTCACGATATTATCTAATTACAATTTATTGTTTATAGTAAATTTCTTTATTTTTACTAAGTAAAAATACTTTAAAATTATTAAATTTTTAAATAAATATTATGAAATCTGATAATTAAATGTGGCAACCTGAGTCTCCGTTAATACAGATGAAGTTCTAAACTCGAGAGAGTTTGATACGTATGAATTTAGTCATTGTTGAATGTATTTTCTATTCCTACATTTAAACACCTTTGTTTTAATAAATTGCATATGTTATATTTCTAATTCTAATTACGTATGTGCATAAAGAAATAATATATATTTAGCAGTACATTCTCTTATCTAAATTATTTTTCGAATTTCTTTCGTTTTACCTTTTTTTCATATGTTTAACTGTTAAATTTTCAAAATAATTTGTATATTTTATTATTATATTTTTTTTTCCTACATTTTCTAATCGTATTCTCTTTTTTTTATCCATGTTAAGTGATAAATTGACATTATTTTGTAAAAAATTACAGGGTGTTTCACCACCTCTTTTCTTTCATATGCATATTTAAAATTACAAAGATGACTTTCAATATTTTATTAAATTATCTTTTTCTCTTTTACTTTTTTTTCTTCTCTTTTCATTAACTGCATCCCTTTTATTCCATAATAGGCTAAGAATTCATCTATTTAAAATTTGAAATACCATTTTCTCTTGGAAAGTAGGTGAACTTTTAATCCATTTTCGAAAGTCGGTTAAAAAAACGTATTTTAAAATACGTTTAACCAACTTCGTTTATTCCATAAATATATTTATATTTAAGAAAAAAACGTATTAAATTTAAAATAACAAATAATAAATTTTGAAAAATCTAAATAAAACAAAGAAAAAAACAATTAACAAAATTTAAATAAAAATTACAACCAAATACAATTATAATGTTTAAAAAAATCAACTAAAATTAAATTAAACAATTATAAACAAATAACAAAAATCAATATAATTTTAAGCAAAAACATATTTTTTATTTGGTTGTTATTTTTTATTTGAAAATTTGTTAAATTTTGTTAATTGTTTTTTTTTCTGTTTTTGTTTGTTTTATTTTGATTTTTCAAAATTTATTATTTGTTATTTTAAATTTAATATATATTTTTAAACGTAAATAATAAATCTATATTTTCTTTGTTAAACATATTTTGAAGTATATTTGTTTGTTATTTCGTCTTTGAAAATCGATTAAGGAAAAAATGTATTTTAACTTTTAAATAGTTGAATTTTTAACTGGCTTTTGAAAACCAATTAAAAAAATAAAAGGGTGTAGTGAATGAAAAGAGAGAAAAAAATTAATTTAATAAAAGGTTGAAATTATATTTATAATTTTGAAGGTGGGGATGAAATTGAAAGAACACCCAACATTACAATAACACCGCGTAATTTTATACCATTTCTCGTCCTTTTGTTACTCGATTAACAAATAATGTGTGAAAACTAAAGAAATAATAGAATACGTTAGAAAAACTAAATAGTAAAATGATGATAATAAAGTGACAGAGTCACTTTCTCACTAGCTTGTTTAAATAATAACTTAATTAGTTTGGCGAGTAAACAAAAGTGGTAAATATTTTGAGCTTTTAATTTTAAGTTATAAAAGATTAAATTAAATTATAAGTTATTAGATACATTTTAGGATTAAACATGTTTTTAGTCCCTCAACTATCATGCAACTTTAGATTTATTCTCTCTTTGAAACTTTGATCCTTGTAGGAAACTATAATTTGTCATCCTCCAAAAACTAACGCTGTTAAAATTAGGCTGAGTTGGGCTAACAGTATGCTACATCATTTTTTCATTTTGTGACACAAGTCAATCTTTTCCTGCTTCTCTCCCCCGTCTCCTTCCTTGTATCTTGACGCCGCTTCTCTCCCTCCTTGTCCATACACACATGTTGGCATCTCTTCCACGCAAGCACACACACGTTTTATGGTGTATCGTCGCACACTGCCACGCACAACTGACACACCCCTTTCGACTCACTTTGTTCACTCGTCCCCAACTCAGTCGCCACCGTGGCCAACAACATACTAATGCACATGGACTCCTCCTCTAACGAGGAGGACGACCGCCACAACCTCGTCGACCATAACCAGCGCAAACCTCCGTCTCCGTCCCCATCCTCGGTTGTCGTCTTCCTCGTCGAAGATCGCTCTCCGCGCTTCAATGTTGGCAAAAACACCATTTGGGTCATTTAGTTTTCGGGATTTGTCAAGAAAAGTGATAAAGTTTCATCACCAGGAATCATGAAGTTTCTATTTTCAGCCATTATTATCCTTTGGGGTATTCGTGATCTTTTGGTGGTTCTTGTTCTTGCAAATTCACGTTTCCTAGAGGAAATGTATAGTTTTGATATGAACCTCCAGGTGACTTATAAGTATGATTGCATGGGTGAAGTTCAGAAACAGTGTGCATCTATGTTGTCTGCTTCATCTGAATTGAGATATGAATATAGTGTTACTGGTATGAAAGGAGAGTTTTCTTTTGTGAATGGGGATTGGAGGCAAGATGGGGGTAAGTTTCCCATAATGCCATTTGATGCAAGCTAATCTCTTGGAACCTTGTTTGAAGATCGTGCTTCAATGAACTAGGTCTCTTTTTGGTTTCAGATGTTGATCTTGACCACCGCTTAAAGAAGTCAATTCCTATCAATGGTTTCATGGTGATTGGCATTGCTAGAGATGGCAATTTGTGGACAATGCATTTGATAGAAATCCTAGGTTTCGTTTATGGCCCAGCCATTCTAAGCTTTCAATCTCCTCTCAAGGGATTTATACTGAATCAAGGAAAAGTGGTGGGGAAAGGGTATTGTGTTTGTTAGGGAACATTATGCTTCCTACTCGAGAGGATTTATATCGTTGTCAAAAGCTCGACATGAAGCAAGGAAGGAGAAGCAGGGAGAGGGAGGGAGAGAAGCATGGAAAGATTGACTCAGTGTCAGAAAAAGAAAAAATGATGTGACACACCGTTACCCAGCTTAGCCTAATTTTAACACGTTGATTTTGGAAGACAAAAAATTATAGTTTCCTTAAAGCCAATGATCAAAGTGTACCAAAGTTTGAAAGAGATACTAAATCTAAAATCACATTATAGTTGAGGGACTAAAAACATATTTAACCCTAATTTTATAATTCATAAATAGCATAAACTATTTCATTAATTTTTATTATCTTTGTATTTTTTTTTAATTTCATTTGACATATAATAAAATATTTTAATCTCATGAATGTAACTAATTAGTACAATATTTTAATAATTAGTGTGTTATTTTTAATTCTTTTACACAACTCAAATTAAAAAAAAATAACATTTTAAATTAAAGTACTACATAACGGTATGTGAAAATTATAGCCGATAAAAATTGTAAAGAATATATTCAACTCATTTTAAAATATGTGCAAGTTTAAAACTTAATAAAAGTATTAAAAAAGTTAAATAAAATTTTATTATTTTAAAAAACATAAAATTATAGTAACATGATGATATACTTTTTTTATTAAACACATAACTTTCAATTATATAATAAAATTAAGTAGTTATTTTTTTATACCATTTAATATTTATTTACCACGTAATTTATTAGTTAATTTGTCAAACATTTTTAATATAATAAATAAAATTATAAGTTTGGAATTTATGGCACGGGAGTTCATGTACGATTAATTAGAGTTACATTATTATTTCAGGAGAATATATATATATATATATATATATATATATATATATATATATATATAATATTAATATT